GAACTATATCTGAAGAAGGAGAAAAAGAACATTGCCTGGCTTTCACTTATGGTTTACTCTGTACGTTAGACTCACACCTCGTATGATTCTCGCCAGGAGCTACTCCGATTGCGTGATGACTGGACATGGGACTGCAAGTTTGACGAGTATCTGCCAACTGAAACGAAAAAGTAAAATTCATGGATATCAAATATGGCTAATGTACAGGATGTGACTGGTATTTAAGGACATACAAATTTAAGATTAATACTGCTTCCCACTAACTTCTAATGCTATTATTTTTCAGAAATCAAGAATGGTAAACCCTATGATAACAAATGAAATGAAAAGGCATGCTGTGATTGGGACATTATAGGCTGATCATAGTGATTTGGATATTGCACGTTTCCTCGAAGTTGCAAGATCTTTTGTCCACAAGATTCGAAAAGAGAAGACGCTGACAGTTCCCCAATGTTTGTATCAAAACGTAAAAGACATTCTGCACGTTCTGATAAAGTGAGAACATCCGAATTTATTCAGGAAGTCAAACAGAGAATTGATGAAAACCAAGGTCAATCAATGAGGTCAATTGCCAAAAACATGCATGTGTCTGAAAAAACAATCAGAAGGAGTGTTCATGAAGACATTCGATACAAGTCCTACGTGATGAAGAGAGTCCAATTTATGTCTGAAAAAAAAAAAAAAAACGAAACAAAAGAAAACCGCTTAAACAGATCCAAAAGTCTTTTAAACAAACTTAAAAATCCTTCAGAAGATGGTGTGATTTGTTTTTTCTCAGATGAGAAAAATTTTGCTCAAAAACTTAACAAATGAAATGACAGATGGCTTTGTTCAGATTCTTCTCAGGTGCCAAGAGTGATGCACACAAAATTTCCTTCAAGTTTTATGATATTGGGTGTTGTTAGTAATGAAGGACATGATATGCCACCACTCTTTTTTCCACAAGGTTTTAGAGTAAATGCTGCTGCTTACATTCAGGTTCTACAAACAATTGTCAAGCCCTGGATTATCAACATATGCAACGGCAGCACTTACATATTCCAGCAAGACTCGGCTCCATCCCACAAGGCTCTACGAACACAAGAATGAATGGCTGACCATTTGTACGACCACATCACATCCAACATTTGGCCTCCTAACTCTCCAGATCTCAATCCACTAGACTGTTATATGTGGAGCGTTGTTGAGAAGGAGGTTAATAAACAGCCTCATAAAACCAAAGACTCTCTTAAAGCTGAAATAGTTCGAGTAATGTCTGACATCAATAAGGACCAATTAATCAGAGCTTGCAGACGATTTCGGCCTCGTGTAGAGGCAGTTATTGATGCTGGCGGTGGTTTTATTGAATAAAATTAAATAATAGCGAAATTTCATGTTTACTTGTTTGTAATCAAATATAATTATATTCATTTGTTCAGTCATTTTTTTTTTTTACTAATCCATAAAATCTGTCCTCAAATACCAGCCGCACTCTGTAATATTTTCTGAAAAATGCTTAACTAAACCAACATTCGACCACATCATGTTGAAACACCGAAATTAAGCAACGTTGAGCCTGGTCATTACCCAGCTGGGTGACCGCTTGTAAGTGCTGTAAGGTGGGATGTGTAACGGATAACGACTCAAAATTGTTAATCGGAGAGCCGAGTTCAAATTCCAGTCGTTATATTCGCTTACTCAGAAATAATCTTCGGAAAGATACGAATCCACCTCTTCTCCTCCAGCTATTGGTTAATAAGTAAGACTTGTCTCACTAAACTGTTATTATTTCCAAAAATAAAATCGTATACGAAATATTTAGATTTCGGCATTAAATAACCCATAGAAGTGTTTATATACCACTAAACAAAATCAACGAACCTAAATCACAAGAAATTCCTAAAATTACATAATATATGCAATTAATAATAAATATAAATTAATAATTACCTGTAGAATATCTTTTGCAGTTGACGATGCGGATGGTTTATGCTCCCATCAGTTAATCAGAAAATCGATGCTGAAAAAATTACATATAACAGAACTTAGAATATCCGTGATCGAAACAGGCTCATGACCTGTGTAATCAATACGAACAGTATATCTACATTTTCTCAAACAGGCCCCGTGGAAAAAATGGATAAAATCTTATAAAAATTGCAGTCACATTCAATGAAGCATGTAGAAAAGACAATACCAGCCGCACTTACATTTTCTGAAAAATGCTTACCTAAACCAGCAATGATGCATCTAGCCACACTGAGGAACTGTGATATAGCGAAGCAGTCTGTCTGTGGCTGACTATATATATATATATATATATATATATATATATTGCATATATTTCAGCAACATGTTTCCATTGAGACATGTCCCATTAAAAAATTTAGACAAGTTTTGTCTACTTAAGAAATGAATATGAATATTGTAGCAAGTCTTTGAAATATTTACAGTTAATAGTTTAATTTTTTTTTAAATATTTAGACATTTTCAGTAACTTAGTTACCTACATTGATGTTTGCACGAGAAAATTTTAAATTTGTACAGTACATAAAGTTGGCGTTGTTCACTTCACACGTAAAAATTTAATTTTCAGATGAACACATTAATTTTTATCTTAGAAAAACAAGACTCTGATGACGAAATCGTGCTAATGTCGAAAGTTCTCAGAATAAAATGAATATACATCAACATGGTAATTTTCTTTCTTTCAAGCATGCTTGTTTGAATAATCTGGATATATTATGCCTATTAATTTTTGTTTTAATCCTTTCAAATTCAGGGACCAATTTCTTAATTCATTAAGGAATGCGCTTTAGTTTTTCTTATTCCTTTTATTTTCCCAAGTATATTCAGTCTTATCTAAGGTCATCTTTTTTTTTTTAGAAAAATTGCAGGTTGTGTATCCAGAAGCATTAATAATAAACAAAATATAAATTAAGTTACCTCCCTTACATATTCTTAACATAATTTTTAAACTGACTTTAACGGTATGCGTTTCATGCATATTTACAAAATAATTCACAACTATCAATTACATTATATTTTTGGCTTAGCAGTTAACTCCCGAAGTTGATCTTTAATGTGATTGAAAGTAAGACTGTAAAGGGCATCTAAAACAGTATAGTATGTTATTCATGTCAGGAAATCTTAAAATTCTGAATCAAACAAGAAGAATTTAAGAAGATTTGCAAGAGGAAGGTCGAACGTTCGAATAATGATCCGAAACAACCCTTGACAGGCTGACATCCATTTGTCAGACTCCAGAACTGAATAAACAATTATTTTTCATTAGAAAGATGCAAATATCGTATCCTTAAAGGGTAAAGTGTATTGAGTAACGGGTCGGCATTAGAATTCGGGTTCGAATTCTAGTCGGTGTCGTTACCGTCACTTACGCGCAAATACCCCTTGGGAAACGTAGAAATCCATCTCTTCTCCTGGCCCAGAAGTTGAATAACAGGATAGACATTGCCTATAGCCTTGGTTGGCAACCAGTCTTTCGTGGAAAGAAACGACAGTTTTCTGAGTGGAAAAAAAAACTTCCGCGTCGCCAGTCATAAAACTAAAGAGACATGATCACCCAGGCGTGTATGACGTATGACACTTCATTGATTCGCAACAGAGTTAACTAACATTATATTACAATGGTTTTATTTTTTCTTACAATGATAATAAAATCTGGGAAGATAGAAGTGTAAAATAATATGTTATTTAATAAATTAATGTCTACAATATACAAAACTGTGTTCTTTTTTAACGCATTTATCAGAGAAAATATATTTGCTAAGAATTATTACTATTATTATTAGTAGTAGTAGTAATATTAGTAGTAGTAGTAGTAAACAGGAGGAGGTAGGTGTGCCTACCGTGCGGTTCACACTCCCCCAAGTTTTTTCAACAAGTGTTTATCCTTTGTTTCTTCTTTAGGATTTGGTTTCCTGTTCCTTCTAAAATCTACTTCATCTCTATACTTCTAATGTCACCGCCTAAACTCTGAGATTTTATTTACCATTTCTTTCTTTTTTCTCAATAGACGTAAATAGGTTCACCTATCGTCTGATCCTGACTACTCCTGGATTTATTCCGTGTTTCCTGATTAGGATTTGGTTTCCGGTTCCTTCTAAAGTCTACTTCATCTCTATACTTCTAACGTCTCCACCTGAACTCTAATTTAATAAATATAAAGTTTCGCCTATCATCCTGCTCTCACTCTGACTTTTTTAGCAGGAGTAGGTTTATCACTTTCTTCCTGTTTATTATTGGTTTTCTGGTTCCTTCGAAAATTACATTAACTCTATAGTTCTAACGTTTCAGCCTAAACTCTGAAATGTTATTCATTATTTATTTACGTTATTTTTATTTATTTTTTTCTTAATTGGTGTAGATAAGTTCGCCTATCGTCCGGTCCACATTGTTCCCTGGTTTTTGTGAACAGATGTTGGTTCCTTGTTTCCTCTTGAGGATTTGGTTTCCATTTTCTTCTAAAGTCTTTCCCTTCTCTTTCACTTCGAGAAACCCATTGCATTTTAGTTGCGTCATCGCTTTGCTTGGGGTGAATTTATTAAATATATATATATATATATATATATAAAAATTACGCAATAATGACAAGAATGTAGAATCCAGAAAAAATATTAGTTTGATCCAAACAAAATATAAAATGAAAACCTATTCCAATGAAGGTCGGAATGTTAAAAACTATCTGTAGAGTAATTTTGAATATTTGTAGATGGTGATGGCCAAAAAGGTCGCGTGGGTTGAGACGGAAAGGTCAAGTGGGCGACGGTTTTGGAAATGACTTGATAAACAAAAAGAATGATTTTTTTTTTCTCTTGTGTGCTGGGGATTTTTTTAGATTTAGAAAGTAATGCGTAAAAAGAGGAAATGTCTTGGATTAAGGAATGAAAACAATAAAAAAATAAATGAAGGTTGAAGAATGAAGAGGAAAAATAAAGGTAAGAAAGCAGAAAAGAAAGAAACTATTTAAAAAAAAATGGTAAGTGAAAGAAAAACATACACTAAAGGAAATGCGTGAAAAATGTAAAAAGGGAGTCAAAAAGAAAGAAAAAAAAGAACGGAAAAAAGAAAGAAAACGCCAGGAAGAAAAAAAGATGTTCAGTGAGAAGGAAATAAGAAGGAAATAAAGCAAAACAGTATACATGGAAAACTGAAGAGAGAATGATTGAAGGAAAAATTAAAAAAAAAAAAAGAAAAAATGTAAGAAAGAACGAAAGGAAGAAAGAAAAAAAATGAAAGGACAAAAGAAAGAAAATGACAAGAAGAAAAAAGACGCTAAATGAGAAGGTAGAAAGAAATAAGAAGGAAATAAAGCAAAACAGTATACATGGAAAATTTTTAAAAAAAGAAGAAAAAATATAAGAAAGAAGGAAGAAAGAAAGAAAAAAGAGAAGTGCTTTTAAAATAAAATTGATGTTAAGAACTAGAATGAAAGAGAAAAAAAATAAAGAAGAAATGAAGAAAGAACGCTATGCATGCAAATTTAAAGATTGGCTAAATGAATGAAAAAGCGCAAGAAGGAAGAAAAACTGAAAGAAAGAAATAATGAACGAAGCCTTTTTTCATTTTGAATTTTCAGAATCATTTTTCCTTTTTAACGTCGTTTTCTGCTTTTTGCTTCTATTTTGTATTTTTCATTCCCTCATTCTCCGCTTGGTTTTGTATGCATAATCTTTCTTTCTTTCACGACTTTGCTCTTAAATGTTTTCCTTTTTAATGTCGTCGTTCATTATTTCTTTCTTTCTGTTACTTCTTCCTTCTTGCGCTGTTTCTTGCAATAAAAAATGCAGAAAGAAACGTTAAAAAGAAAAAAATAATTCTAACAATCCAAAATGAAGAATAGCATAAAGAAACGAGAAAGAAAGAAAAAGGAATAATCTGAAGGTGGAATTAAGGAATCAAAACAATGGAAGAAAAGAATAAATAATACAAAGAAAGAATAAATGAAAGAAAGAAAGATAAAATAAACGAAAAATGAATGAATGAATGAAAAAGCGAATGATTGAAAGAATGAAAGAAGAATGAATGAGTGAAAAAGAATGAATGAATGAAAGAATGATTGAAAGAAAGAATGAATTAATGAATGAAACAAAGAATGAAACAAAGACTGAATGAATGAAAGAATGAATGAATGGATGAAAGAATGATTGAAAGAAAGAATAAATGAAACAATGAATGAATGAAGTAATGAATGAAAGAAAGAATGAAGGAAAAAAGAATGAATGAAAGAATGAATGAATGAAAGTATAAAAGAATGACAGAAAGATTGAAAGAAAGAATAAATGAACGAATAATTGAATGAAGTAATGAATGAATGAAAGGAAGAATGAATTAAAGAAGAATGAATGAACGAATGAATGAACGAAAACGAATGAATGAATGTTTGAAATAAAGAGTGAATGAATGAAAGAATAAATGAATGAAAGAATTAATGAATGAAAGAATGAATAAATATATAACAGAATGAATGATTTAAAGTATTAATGAATGAAAGAAAGATTGAATGAAAGAATGAATTAATGAATGAAACAAAGAATGAAAGAAAGACTGAATGAATGAAAGAATGAAGGAAAGAATGATTGAAAGAAAGAATAAATGAAAGAATGAATGAATTATGTAATTAATGAAAGAAAGAATGAATGAAAGAATGAATTAAAGAATAAATGAATGAAAAAATATTGAATGAAAGAACGAATGAATGAATGAAAAAGAATGAATGAAAGAATGATTGAAAGAAAGAAAGAAAATGAAATTACTACTAGACCTGAGAACCCTATTTTCCGGATAAGGTTAGGAAGGTAGCCTCCATCTATACTGGAAAGAGCGATAACAGCTACTGGACTTGAGAAACCTATTTTCCTGAAAAGGTTAGGAAGGTAGCCTCCATCTATACTGGAAAGAGCGATAACAGCTACTGGACTTGAGAAACCTATTTTCCTGAAATGTTGTTCCAAGAGAAATATTTTATAAATTTCAACCAAAAGCAATACTGACTGCTCGGTCAATGAATACCAAATGTTTCCGGCTAATATCACAATTACCATTACCATTTGCCCTTTTTCATTAGTTTTTCCATATGAGTGTCGTTAGAACCAGATTTAGGACGAATGAGGCCTTGTGTTGTTAAATTTCTGAGGCTTCTTACACAAGCGTGGAAGGAAGATGCCCCCCGGCCAATAAGGCCTTGTGCTTAAGCACACCTAATTAAAATGGTAAATCCGGCACTGAGTGTCGTTTAAAAGAGGATGAGCGGTCCGTTTCACTTGCTTTGCTTTTGACTTTCAAACATTTCATCGCTGTCACAAAGCCTAAAATTTTCATAGCGTAACAATGGCGGATTTTATTTATAATTTCTCTCTAACGTCAAAATAAATTCCACGGCTTACCGGCATTGTAGTTGTCAAGGCATCTTCAACGAACTTCTCGAGAATTCGTTGTTATCTAACGATCATTTTCTTTTTCAGATTCAATTTCCAGGTTTGATCCACCTACTGGAAAACCTAATGTTATTAAAGCTACCATTTTGTCGGACAAATAAGGATTAGGAACCATTTCACTTTACAAACACGCAATGTAGTTAAATTGAGACTTTGAAATTCTGGACATTTCATACAAAATGGCGGTCATTTAATTACATTTGCGCAAAAGTAACATACTTTCGTCTACACTGCGCAGATACCTTATCTTATCACCAAATAAAACCTTTACATTCCAATATGAATCTATATATATATATATATATATATATATATATATATATATATATATATATAAAAGTTAAAGTTTTAGGTAATCATGTGAGAATAAGAACAACAATTTGTCGGATGTAAAAACAAATAATGCTGTAGAAGTCTTTCTTTGATGCCCGTTTTGCTGAACAAGACTGACAAAATATGTTTTTCGTCCTGGGTATGACGATAGACTACATCCGTGTCCTGGTTAAGGTGATAAACTACACCCGCGTCCTGGGTAAAGAGATAAACTATATCCGCGGCCTGGGTATTACGACAAACTACATCCGCGTCCTGGGTGAGGAGATAAACTACATCCACATCCTGGGTAAGGAGATAAACTACATCCGCATCCTGGGTAAGGAGATAAACTACATCCGCGTCCTGGGTAAGAAGATAAACTACGTCCAACAGAAAAGAGGTTTTGAGGAGAGTGGAACCACATCTTAATTGCTGTTGTTCTCAGGTCCACCCTGACCCGGAGTGGTAGCACCTGTTGGGGATCTCAATTATGGGCAAATAGTGCCCCCACCAAACTGGGGTCAAAACACTATAAAAATATAAAAATAGATTTTAATACCAGTAATACTTAGTAAAGAATTATTATCAGCATTGGATTTTTGAAGAAAGATTATTACTAGCAATGCATTTTTTTAAATATATTACCAGGTGTATATTTTTGGAAAAAACTGTTACCAGCAAATAGATTGATTATGTCATTATTTTCTCTTCAAGTTGCATGCGATATCAATTCTACTTTTTACTATTTTTAAAAAGTTCTCATGTGATGTGGTTTTCGTTATTTAGTACAGTTTCTTTTTGGTGATTCTGTAGCGCCAGTTCATAAGATTCGAAAAAGTATGGTCGTTACCCATTAGGTTCACTCGCTGATAGCAATTTTAAACCGTTGAACTTAGAAGTAAGGTTATTTACAGCTGATAGTTTAAATATTTCCGAGTTGGTATGGCTCCATGCAATGACTTCAAACCTATTTAGAAATATCTAAACTGTGCCGTGATAATAATCTCATGAAGCTTTCATAGATCCCATTTCAGCAGTGTTTGATGTAATCAGTTTATTGACGAAATTTTAGTTCCTCGGTAGTGTTTATAATAATTTTTGTAAATTTCAGCTTTTCGGATTCGGTTTCAATCAAAATGTTGTTTTATTTTAATACTTTCAGTTTTCTATAAGTACATGCTGTACATCTGGAGTAGGGCTCAGATAATTTCACAAAATCTTTGGAGATTACGAATTAGGTTATCTGTAAGAAAGATGGTCAATGATAAATTGTATTATTAGGTTGGTGCAAAAATAATGACGTAAGAATGTCGTTTTTTGACGTTAAAAAATACGTCAAAAAACGACAATATTACGTCATTATTTTTTTGCACCAACCTAATATTAATCATTAACTATAGAACAATAAAAAACTGCTTTAATGCAAATAGGAGGGATTTTTCAGCAAAGGCAGGCCCCGAATTTAAAATATCTTAAATATTTTCTTAAATTAGGCCAGTTGCAGGTTTTCATATACGATGAGAGTTTATAAGCAAAAATTAGATTTGAATCGGTTTGGTTTGTTTTGTTTTGTTTTATGGCATATCAACCTCAATGTGTAATGCCGACAAGATTTTTATTGCTGGTAATATTTTTTCCAAAAATGCATTACTGGTAATATTTTTTCCAAACATTTTTTTTTTCCAAAAATGTATTGCTGGTAATATTTTTTTTTCCAAAAATGTATAGCTGGTAACATATATATTATTTTGTTTTGTTTTACGGCATATCAACCTCAATGTGTTATTTAATGCCGACAAGATTTGTATTGCTGGTAATATTGTTTTCCAAAAAATGTATTTTCTGGTAAATTTTTTTTTCCCAAAAAATGTATTGCTGGTAATATTTTTTTCAAAAAAATGTATTGCTAGTAATATATATATTTTTAAATGTATTGTTGGTAATATTTTTAAAAAAATGTATTGCTGGTATTTTTTTTTCTTTTTCAAAAATATATTGCTTGTAATAATTTTTCCAGAAAAATATTGCTTGCATTAAAACCTATTTTTATACTTTTATAGTGTTTTGACCCATTTTGGAGGAAGGGCGTAACTAATTGCCCATGACTGGGACCCTGACAGGTGCTAGCACTCCGGATCAGGGTGGACCTGGGAACACCAGCAATTAAGTGGTTGTTCCATGCTCTCCTCGAAAGTTTATCATCATGACCAGTACGCGGATGTAGTTTAACGTCATACCCAGGACGGTCTTAAGTAGGGCTCAGATAAGTTAACAAAATCATTGGAGACTACTAATCAGGATATCTGTAAGAAAGATGATCCATTAAAATGACTAATATGGCTTTTTAATAATTTCATCCCCAGCAAGGCAATTAAGCCACTAAGGTACAAGGGGTTACTGAGTGTAAAGAATTAGAAAAAGAAAAATATTATTAAGGAGAGGGAACAATAAACGAACAGGGATCAAGAAGACAGTTGATAACGATTGTCAGTTGATCCGCCTAGATGCAACCCTAAGTTTCTCTGCTAACAGTTTCGCACTTCTCCCTTGTGGAACATTCTTCCGGCTTCATGCATTTCACGCAACATTGATCTTCAAAATTTTAATTGCAGTTTCAATCGTTATCTAATATCTACTTGATTATTCTTCTTTTGTTTTTTTCATTCCTTAA